GACATGTCGTGCAATTACAGTAAATGGTGATGAAGAATATGTCACAACACTCATCGTTAGTGAACCCTCCCAGCGGTTTCTCCAATTTTTAATCTACCAGACCGCTTCTTTAGAGCTCTAATACTGTATTGGATCATTCTGCTTTTATATGCTGCAATGAAGAGTGGAATTTTAGAAATGGTTTTCAAGCAAATTATGGACAAGAGCTTTCAAGATAGCAGACTTTTATATAAATACTAGCGATTGTTCCCGGCTTCCCCTCGCTTTTTACCCGAGTAGAAGTTTGCCTAACGAACATTTGTTAAAACGATTCTAGAAAACATCCACTCCACCTATATATAGATTTATAAACGTATATAAATATTGTTATATGCGTTTAAATATATTTTTGAAACACATTTTTTTAAAAAACATTTATTAAATTTTAAATAAGATATTTTCTTTAATTATATATTAATATTGAAATGCCAAGTTTTTTTACAACGTCATTGGAATATTATATTACTAAATCCTCAAATTAAATATTAAATTTATTATACTTGGAACATATTTTAGCATTTTTACAATTTATAAATGTAATTTCACCAGACACCGCGAGAGGCGCTGCTTTTGCGAGTGAAATTAGAAAATTTGCAAATAAAATAGCATCGAATATTTATTTCAAATCAAATTCAAGCCAGAAACCTTCCCAGTAGTATAGTAAATAACTTCCTAAAGTTTCACGGCGATTGGATAATCTTACCTTTTAAAAACATTCATCGTGTAAACAAACTAACATTCATCGTGTAAACAAACTACGTGTAAAATTATTAACCAATCAAATTCATTTATCGTCGCGACCAGTGCTGCGCCAAGCGGTAAAAGGCTGGAACTAACGGTTTTTGGTTTTTCATTATTTTAAAAAATCACATTAACCTTTTTAGTTTTTTGAATAGCCTATATGTTAAACGAAATCTTCAGTTACATACATGCGAAATTTTATAATGATTGATTCTGTAGATTTTGCGCAACGCGATAACAAACATCGATTTTGAATTTCATTTTGATTTTATAGATATAAAGGATTTGCATCGAGTAATGCTCTTCCGCAAACAATAACTTAGCTTATGTTCATAGTTTGCTTGAAAAACCATTTCTAATATTTCACCCTTCAGTTTTATATATATAAGCAGAATCATCCAATGCGGTCTGGTATATTAAATTAGCGAAACCGCTGGGAAGGTTCACCACTGATGAGCCAAGCTCTCCCAATATTTTTTATCGCATTATGGACAGTATAAAAGTTTGTTTTATACTTTAAAAGAAAAAATCGTGATTTAATACTTCCATTTCTTATATATATATATGACATCGCCTTATACATAATATAATGCAATATAATACACTGCGGCTTGTGATTGTAAAACAACACTTGAATATCCACCGCATGAGTTTCTTCTCAATGAAAAATCAAAATTTATTTCAAGGTGAAATATTGACTATTTCTAACCTTTTTGGATGAGGTATGAAAGGTTATAAGTTAATAATATTATAAATATTATAAGTTACTTGTTGTATTATTTATGAACGGAAAAATACGTCCAGGGTAGCCTACTGGACATGGCATCTGCCCGGTAAGCGGAACATTGTGGGTTCGATTCCCATCCCTGGATACTTTTATTTTTCCGTTCATAATTACTCTTCATAATTCACCCTTTCATACCTCATCCAAAAAGGTTAGATATAGTCAATATTTCACCTTGAAATAAATTTTGATTTTTCATTAAAAAGAAACTCTTGTAGTGTAACTTCAAGTGTTGTTTCACAATAATATAATGTATTAATACGAAATATTAATACAATAGCATTAATAATAGAAAACATACCAATATGTAATTGAAACGTTCTTACAAATGTGGTGTTAATTTGTCCCATTTAAATGTACAGAGTGAATGGACTAGTTGTTAATGGAATTCACTTTATTTACCCAGCAAGGTACACACAAACCAGAAAAACAACATGTTAATTTTTCAATTAATGCCACAGGTAATCACAATTGTCAATTAACACAGGGGAGAGACTTGTAAACAATTAGAATAGTTAATGAAATAGTTACAGAAGATAATCCCTGTGTAGACAACATGCCTTGTAATTATGCATTTGTCTGGAAATTAATTGTACTTTTATTTCATATATATTTGTCGTTTTACTTTCTTAACTATTGGAAATTGTAGTACAGTAGAACCTCCATGAGAGGACACTAGCGCTAGAGGATACCTCTCTACAAAGGACAATTTTGATTTGCATAATTACTATTTTTACTAATTAGCAACTCTTTAATAAGAGGAAACCTCTCTCTAAAAGTCACTTTAGGTCTGAAATTAGATGTTGTCCTTTACAGGAAGGTTTTACTGTATTTGTCTTTTTGTTATATCGTTAAATAGAAGAAGGGAGACCGACCACACTCCCCTGCGGTCCCCCTTGATCCTTGCGAAATAAACTCTCTGATAGAAGATTACAAAAACGAAAACAAGACTCAAAATGAAACACTACAAAAGAATGACAATACATCCAGATGGCACAATAACCTACAGGACATGTAACAATTGTCCTGGTGTGTGGACCTAACACCTACCTACGTATTTTCAGATCTAGTAATGGCCTTGCAGAAAATTGATATGGACCCAGAACAGCAGCTTTACACACCCAAGATAGAGAACATTGCTGTGATAGAGATGTACGGAGACATCTGAGGCTCTTTATTGGACACAATAACAACAACAGAAAATTGGCATGGACCCAGAACAGCAGCTTTACACACCCAAGATAGAGAACATTGCTGTGATAGAGATGTACAGAGATATCCGAGGCTCTTCATTGGAAACGATAACAACCGAAATTTGACATGGACCCAGAACAGCAGCTCTACACACCCAAGATAGAGAACACTGCTGTGATAGAGATGTATGAAGACATCTGAGGCTCTTCATTGGACACGACAACAACAACATTAAATAGAAGAGCTTTCGAAGAACGATCTTCTTCAATATGTCTATCATTTAATACGAGATTTACGTGGTGACAGATTAAATGAGCAAGTATGACTGCGAGTGTTTTTCTTTTTCGGTAATAAAATTGTATGAAATGGAAATATAATTATACCATATATATTAATTTATTTTAAATAATTTTCATTGTAAGATGCAACAATCTAACATAATATAGATATTGTATTTGGTATTTTTTGTATTTGATAAAATAGTTTTATTTAATTTTATAGTTAACGTTAATAATAGTATATATATGTATTGTTATTGAATTCACTAGATTTCTCTATATATTTCCAACTAAAGAAATTATTAAGAAAAGGCATTTGAATCATTAAAATGATATTCAAGCAAACTGTGGACATTTCATAACAGTAACAACAGTTTTTTTTAAAGAAAAATAGTGCCTAGTAGTTTAATTTATTATATATAGATATTATTGCCTTATAATTATATTATTTACATATGTGGGGAAATATTGAGGTAATTCTTGTATTTTACTCTGGTCATTCTGTGTTAATTAACATGCCATTAAAACAAAGGTAATTAAAATTTAGGAGCAATTTCTTAAGTATGCAATTTATATTAATTTGTGCGAACTTATGATTATTATATGTTTAAACACATACCCTCTATATATCTTTCCTTCTATTACATTATCTTGGTTATAACCTTTGTGATATTTTGTATTTTCTCTTATGGTGGTGTCTTGTCCTTCTCCATGGAAGCGGGGTGCCATTGCCCCGTTAGTCAGCCACATTTCAGAGTTCCCTGTTCACAGTTACCGTAGCGGCTCGGAGCTCACGAAGTCTGCACCGTCCTATTGTGGGTTAGTGGTGGTGGTGTCTTCTCCATGGAAAGGAGGGTGCCATTGCCCCGTTAGTCAGCCACATTTCAGAGTTCCCTGTTCACAGTTACCTTAGCGGCTCGGGGCTCACGAAGTCCCCACCGTACTATTGTGGGTTAGTGGTGGTGGTGTCTTGTTCATGGAAAGGAGGGTGCCATTGCCCCATTAGTCAGCCACATTTCAGAGTTCCCTGTTCACAGTTACCTTAGCGGCTCGGGGCTCACGAAGTCCCCACCGTACTATTGTGGGTTAGTGGTGGTGGTGTCTTGTTCATGGAAAGGAGGGTGCCATTGCCCCATTAGTCAGCCACATTTCAGAGTTCCCTGTTCACAGTTACCTTAGCGGCTCGGGGCTCACGAAGTCCCCACCGTACTATTGTGGGTTAGTGGTGGTGGTGTCTTCTCCATGGAAAGGAGGGTGCCATTGCCCCATTAGTCAGCCACATTTCAGAGTTCCCTGTTCACGGTTACCGTAGCAGCTCGGGGCTCACGAAGTCCCCACCGTACTATTGTGGGTTAGTGGTGGTGGTGTCTTGTTCATGGAAAGGAGGGTGCCATTGCCCCGTTAGTCAGCCACATTTCAGAGTTCCCTGTTCACAGTTACCTTAGCGGCTCGGGGCTCACGAAGTCCCCACCGTACTATTGTGGGTTAGTGGTGGTGGTGTCTTGTTCATGGAAAGGAGGGTGCCATTGCCCCGTTAATCAGCCACATTTCAGAGTTCCCTGTTCACAGTTACCTTAGCGGCTCGGAGCTCACGAAGTCTGCACCGTCCTATTGTGGGTTAGTGGTGGTTGTGTCTTGTCCTTCTCCATGGAAAGGGAGGTGCCATTACCCCGTTAGTCAGCCATATTTCAGAGATCCCTGTTCACAGTTACCGTAGCGGCTCGGAGCTCACGAAGTCTGCACCGTCCTATTGTGGGTTAGTGGTGGAGGTTTCTTGTCCTTCTCCATGGAAAGGAGGGTGCCATTGCCCCGTTAGTCAGCCACATTTCAGAGTTCCCTGTTCACGGTTACCGTAGCGGCTCGGGGCTCACGAAGTCCCCACCGTACTATTGTGGGTTAGTGGTGGTGGTGGTGTCTTGTCCTTCTCCATGGAAAGGGAGGTGCCATTGCCCCGTTAGTCAGCCACATTTCAGAGTTCCCTGTTCACGGTTACCGTAGCGGCTCGGGGCTCACGAAGTCCCCACCGTCCTATTGTGGGTTAGTGGTGGTGGTGTCTTGTCCACTTCATGGAAAGGGAGGTTGCCCCGTTAGTTTTATCAATTAATAATTATTCACTTTTATATTTAACCTTATATAATATTAAATGGACATTGTAATAAAGAAGTCTCAATCTCTCTCTTTCTATTCATTTAAATGTTATTAGGTAGTCAATTAGTTATTTTTAATCTTTTCAAAAAAATGAAATGTAAATTTATAATATTGCTTTTTTTAATATTAAATAATATATAAATTGTGTTTATACTCATTTATAATGCTAACTTGATCATAAAATTGATTAACTAAATATAAAACGGATCCCAAAAACGACTTTTTCAATTCTAGCTGAAAAAGAAAACATCTACAAAAATAGGTTAAAAAGTTGTTGCTTAAAATATTTATATAATAAATACCTATGTCAAAGGGATAATGAGATTATCTAGAAAATAGGTATAAAAGGAAACAAAATATTATTTTATATATATAAAAATATTATAATGAAAAAACGTTTATTCAAAATTAATTCCCAAAATATTCTCCTCTAAAACGAATATTAATCTATGATTAAATAAATATTCAGCCTTTTCAAATAATAAATTTGACTCTTGACTCGCTCTATCGAACCGTAGATCAAAAGATTAATAAACTAATTTCGACATTTATTTTTTTAAGTTTCCTTTTTAAAATATGAAATAAATAATAAAGCAACACACACAGGGAAAAGGGTTACATATATAAAATAGAAATAATAAACTCTAATATTTATATAATAAAATTTGATTGAAAATTAATGCAAATATTTATTTTTTTCTCTTAATATTTAAAATATATTTCGTACAAATCCTCATTTTAAAATGTAATTAATAATTAAATATAAATATATATTCATTATAAAAAGAATAAGATTATTTATAAATAAAAAAAAATTATCGTGTTGAAATTCCAACCAAAAATTATAGGGAAAAGTCATAGATAAAAAAAGCGTTATAAATAAATTTGACCATTGACCAGGTCAAGACGTTACATTTCAATTAAACGTTCATTATAAATTGATAGGAAAGAAGGTAGATCACGCGATGTTAACCCAGATGTGAATAATAAAGGGTTTGAAAAAAAAAAGTTTAAAAATTAAAAAAAAAAAAACCCTATCTATTAAGATCTTAATTATAGCCTATTGTATTATTAATTTATTTATTGAGCGAGAGAATGGAATTGAAAGCGCCATATATAGAGATAATATATCATAGCCTATTATTGATTATATCTGGTCAAATTTTAAACTATTATTTATTAATATTTATATTTTTATTGATCATATATCCTTTTGATCACTCAATTAAGCTTTGTGATGATGGTTAACACCAACTATCAGTGAATAGAATAAAATAGATATATTTGCAATGCATTGTTGCCATGAACAGTAGAAGAATTGAATATTGATTTTTTAAATGCACTTATCAAATCATTTTCTGTATTTTTGATGAATGCAATTTGTGTTATTTTGTCTTCATGAATGATTTTCTTTATGAGCTTAATTTTTTTTTATGTTTATCTGTATATAAATTTCATTATTACCATT